TGTCTGACGCGAACGGATTCATTCTACTGGCTAGCTCAGTTTGCCAATTTCATTAATAATAACAATTATCGTTATCATATTGTAACATTATATATTAACATTTGATATTTAATTTTATATTTATTGTAATAATATAATTATTATATACATGATATAACATATATATTAACAATTTACTCTCATTGAAGAGTGAAAATATTTCATTGAAAAAATTCATTTCTAATAATTGTTACGGGCTCGAATGGAGTCCGTGCAATCGATTATTAGACAGTTTTCCGTGGGAAGGGTTAATATGACACGGAAACTTTTCAAACTTTGTTCCGGATGGCGAGCAGCGAAATTCCCCGGGAATTTTAATTGTACGAGCGATCCGTAAGATGGATAACGGTCGTGAGACTTTTCTTGGGAGGAGCAAGAACGGAGAGTTCTCCTCGAGAGATAAAGAAACAACTTCGAATTAATGCCATCGTGGCCTGTAACGCTTGAACTTGTTCACGATGAAAAAAAAAAAGTTAGAACGGTTTTAGTTGTCGCGGGCGCATCGAGAAACGGGGAGAGCCTTCCCGCCAGGGGCGACACCCCCAAAGTGCCCCAAGAACTGCAAATTGTTCTTTAACAACAACTCGAGGCTGCCAGATGACGTTCTCATTGCTGTTCCTGTTCTACGTGCTGTTACAAAACTTTCGGGAATCGTACTGGAGACGTGCAGTTATTAAATTCGAAATTTATTTGACACTCTGATCACGCTGTTTGAGAACTTTGTGCGAACGGCGAGGAATATTACAATCTGAAATATATTTAAAAATATTGAGAAAGATTAATTTCTTATATGTGAGACTTGGTATTCAAGCGCACACGGCGTATTGAACTGGCTTCGAAAGTTTGCAATCTTTTTGGAATTTTTCTATGTATTAATTCTGGTAAAATATACTTTTCAATAGAAATATTCTCTATTATATAGTAAAATTAGTTACTTGCCAAGAAAGAAAGAATATCTTCTAAGAGTCTTAAAAATAAAGTGTTCAATTTCGCACATTCGAAAATATTAATAGAAACATTATATTAAACATAAGTCGTTCCTCTGTCGTAAATGATGTCATTTTATTTTTTATTATTGTGTTCACATTAATTACGTATTGTAAATATTTATAAATTGTATTCTTCAATCGTTTTTCTTCAAGAAACTTCACAATTGTCCACAAATCTGCAATACTAATCGAGACTCGATAGAACCGTGTTTGTCATTCGCTACTCTTGCCCACGTCGGCGTTTATTTTCTCGAAAGAAAAACGAGAGTGGAAAGATGACAGGCGACGTCCATTTGCCTTTCACTTACTTTTAGCGCGGTACCAATTTCCGCGATGATGATGGTAGTATTGAAAGCGTCCATCGATTATTTTCTACTTCGCCGACTGTAAGCAGAAACGGACGGTTCTCCGAGTGTAATCAACACGTCGTCATCCGTCAATTCGTTTCCACTTTCCCACAATTACGGGGCCTTTACATATGTCTCTTCCTCCCCGAGTGCTTTTCGGTCGAAGATTGAAGTCTGCTTTCCAAGTCCTTTGATCTCCTACTCTCTTCTTGGACGCCGCAATGCGAACGTTTGATATAACAACTCGATGACGGCGACGTTTCACGTTTGTTTCATGTTCGAGACTCTTTGACTTCAGCCTTCCCGACAAGGCACGTACATCGTTTCATCTCGGAATTCGGTTTAACTCCATCCTCTTTTCAGTTCTCTGATTGATTCAACAGACTCTTCTCTTGCTATTTCTTTCGAAAAAAGAAATGTTCTTCTTGTTGGTCGTTAATTCAGTTTTTTAATCTTACGATCTAACTTGCGATTATTTCAAATATTTTGTATAACTTGGATATCTAGTAATTTTCAACTTGAATATTTTGGATATTTCATGATTTTTTTTTTTTTTTAATTGTGCGTGTTTTATGCACTTTAAAATTTCGTACAAATGCATAAAAATTTTAGAGTGCAATTATAATGTACGTATAATGAAGTAGAGATTTGGCACAGCGCGGCGCGTTGAGCCAGTCAGTAGAATGAGCTCGTCTGCGTCAGACACAAGTGACAGACTCGGAAAGCAGCGCTGAACATTATCAACTTTTTTAATCATCCTGCAATTATGAATCACGTTTCTTCTCATTTTTGTTTATCTTTACTTATATTATTCACTGTTCTTCGAAGATATATCTTATAATAATAGTAATATATATTGCTAAAAGGATATGTCCAACAAGATACAGTAAAAATAAAAATTATGGACAAAGATATATGCGTCATAATGTTGAAAGAACATTCAAGAGAAAAAGTTATCAATATATTGGCTAATTAATTTACTAATCTTATTTATGGGTAATTGATTGTAATAATTTTAAATAAATGCAATTTTACAGTTCTCAAAGGTAGATAGGATGTTACAGAATATAGGAGAATCTTATAAACAACGAGTCAAGAAATTTCAAAAATTTTATAGATTGGCACAGAATTTGATCTTTATTCCATGGTAATCTGATTATGATTTATTAAAATTTCTTGCAATAAATATTAAAATACTAAAATTCTCGCAAAATTTCCACGTTCTTATAATTACAGTTTTTGCGATCTGATCGTTGCAAAGTAATTATTAGCACTTTGATTGCTTTTACCAGACTTGCGTAATTTTCAATGATAATAATAGATATAACTGTTTCTACGAAGCTATAAAAAAAACTATATATATAAAATATTATATATATATAAAATATATTTTAATTAATATATATATATATATATATATATATATATATATATATATATAAATACTGAGACAAAGACAAATCGGCAAATGTTCCGAAGATGTATTAATCACGTTGTTAATTAAAAACGTCGAGCACTGCAAATTCATTCTCGAATTTAACCTGTTGATCGTTAAAACGATCCTCTCGATGGGAATATGTCGTGAAGTGAACGAGGGATCGATCGAGTATTGACGAAGAAGGAGAAGAGACGCAGATCGACCGTAATTCGCAACTATCCCCCCATGAACGACGAGCCAATTGACCCCCTTGTCCGTAAGTTAGCGCCGCTTATGCGCTCGCCGCTAATTAAGGACGGCACGTCGACTAGCGGCACTCGCTGGTGCAGCTTAATGGAAATTAGTCCTGCCTCGCGATTTCCAGCGTCGCGCATCGGTCCTCGTAGTCTCATTAGTTCGTTCGAGCGTGTCGCTGGTCTCGACCGTTCCTCCGCAGTCGCGAATAATTCGATTGCACGTGCTCGTGCTCCTATACTCGAACGCGTTCTCAAGCGCGTTCTCGACGCGGTCTTGTTGTAATTACACCGACGTCCGGCGCGCACCCACTTCCTTTCACCTGATCGACACTCGTCGAAATTACTCCACGAGAGTTGAATCCACCGATATCGTGCAAGGAACGCGCTGTATCGTCGCTGCGATTTAAATGGTGTGAGTGTTTTATAAATTTTTTTCTTCAATTCTTTTTTGTTTTCTTTTTTTTTCTCTCTCTTAGTCTTTGAACATTGAATGATTTAATTGCAGAGGGAAGAAAAATCGAAGTGGGTCTTGTTTGGAGTTGGGGGAATTATCGTTGTGCCGTGATCAATGTCTTTGAATATTGTACGATGAAATTCTCAAAGGAAAAGGGATCGTAAAGTGACTGTTTGGATTTTACTTGGAATTTTTTAATATAATTAGAGACATCTTATTGTTAGAGACTCAATTGTAAGTTTTTGTTATTACTCAGTGATTAAACACTGGAGAGAAAAGTCAAATTGTAACAGGTGTTGTTTGGAGTTTGCTCACGACCAGGAACGCATGCAACAGTTTCTCTGCTTTCGAGACTGGTGATGACGTCTTGTGTACGTCATCGATGCGTATCCAATCAAAGTGATGACGCGGTATACGCGTCACGTGAATAGATTAGATAGATAGATAGACGTGTTATCGTTATCGGTCAGTGTTGGAGAAGCAGCCGGAGAATTATGATCGCGTAGACGATAAACATTCGTAATACAAAAATAAAAACAAAAGAATCTAATTCACAAAATCTTTTATTGATCGTACTTCTGAAAATTCACAATTCTACGTGAAAACGTGTGATAATTTAGTTCCAATTTTGCTCGTGATATATCAGGGGATGAAGTTTTTCTTCGTATATTTCTGAAAATTACCAATTTTGGATAATGTTACTTGTAGGAGGACAGTGAAAATGCAGCCAGTGAAAAGTGTCATCGTGTGTAATTAACGAGAGAGTGAATCCCGTTGACTCAATTCTTGCGTATTAAATTTCCTGTAATTTTCATCTCGAGGGCAAAACTTGCAGTTTTATCTGCCGCAAATGGATAAAATTTTCCTCCCGATTTGACAAATACTCCGGTGCGGCGCACCTTAGGGGATATTGATTTTCTTCTGGGTTCCGATGATAAGCGGGGTAACTTTCGGTGGTTTTGCACCCTTTCTGCTCACGGTAACTGCTGCTCCACCAGTGCATTCTGGTCTTGGTCGATTTGCGAATTTCTGTGTTACCGACTTCTGCACGTGGTGCGTTCATAGTCGAAGAGATGTCGTCTGTTTGTTCGTGGTCTTTTGAAATTTCAACCCCTAAGCGTAACTCCTAGAAATTTAAATTTTTATAATTTTCATTTGTTATATGAGCAAAAAAAAAAGCAGCAGTTTGTATCATATAATGGGTATAAATCAATTTCTTATGTATTTAAACTTAAAGCTTAGCTTATATTCTTACTTGTGCAGAAGTGGTAGATACAATTTTACAATCGTTCACATAAAAATAAATGTAACATACTTCTCTATTACTCTCTATGTCTTATAAAATTTACTTCATTCTTCGTATATCACTTTTGCATCAAATGCGCCCGTAATGTTGTATAATATCAAAACACTGTGTTTTAACTTCAAATCTTCTTAATGACAAGTCCACTATTATCTTATAGAGGTCAGGTTAATTTGTTAACTATCCAAATCTAGATCGCGAAAGGAGGACGCATCAGCATAATTAATTTACGCACCCTCGTCGTAAACACGCCGTTGAAGAATGGCCTAATAAAAGACTTGTCCAGCTTAGCGGACTGTAAAATATCGTAACGACGTTGAGAAGCACCAGACAATAAAAACAATCACTGCCCGTGAATTTGTAATAAACTTTCTATCGCGCGTAAACAAATTTCGTATCGGTCGTCGTCATTTCAGTAGCGACGAAAATTATCCAAAACGATCGAAGGAGCGTGTAGACACGAAGGACTTTTTTTTTCATGACACTACTGCTAGTTTAGACAATGGTGTAAGAAAACGTGACTCGAACAACTGGTGGGTGAACGAGTGGTGAATACATGATCTAACACGAAACGAAGCGTGCGAAGGGTGGAAAGAAAGAAAGGAAATAATCGTGAAATAAAAATACTGAATATTCGTCGAATATGCCCCCGACGACACCGACAGACTCAGCCATGTGCTCGCTCTGTCCTCGCTCGAAGAAGGCTCAACATCCCAAGAAGCTTGTACGATTCGACTCAATCGTCGATACGTTCTCCATTTCCGATTCGAACGCCATCACCAATCAGAGGGTAAGAAGAAAATTAATTTGTAATAACTCGTGAAAAGTTCTATCAAATGCTCTTCTTATTTTTATCCATTTATTTATTTCAGGCTGTCAGATTTTATTCTTATTTTCATCCATATTTGAGACGATCAGCTTCGTCACTTGAAGCGTAAAGAAAAATGTTTAAAAAAAATTACAAATGTTATTTCCGAAAATTCACCATTCAAATTATCTTCAGTCCAACCCGATTCAAATTATCCGCAATCATTCATTCAACAAGTAGAATCGCAAGAATAAGTCTTTCGTTTCTTGAGACGTTAAATTAATTGACTGCCTGATTAATGAAGTTGAGAACTTCCCGCAAAATGGAGTCGGGCAGTTTGAGGGACTCGTTTATTCCTTCTTTGTTTCATGTTTAATAGGATTTATAGCAATTTCTTGCCGTGGATATTATGAAATCATTCGAGCCACGAATAGAAATGAGATTTAACATTTATAATTATACAAACGCGAGATCAAAGAATCGGTGGAGCCCTGTGTTTGAATAAGCGAGTGTTTGTAATTTGGCGAATTTAGCTTCCATTAAACGCGGTTAATGTAGCATGTCGATTACTCCTTTACACGTCATCACGTGATTAATTTTTCGATTGTGTATTATTTATTTGACCCCCTTAAAGCAAGAACCATTGGATAGTAATTACTGATTCTCATTACATTGTTCATGTACTACATTATTCATATATTTTCGCGCGTAAATGTCACGCTCTATCGTTTCCGCGTTGTCATCACTTTTCGAATTCCGTAAATCGTATTGTAAAATATGCACATAACCGAGTAAAAAATATATATACTATATATATATATACTATATATTTTTTACTATAAAAGTAAAAAAAGAATATATATATATATTAATAAAATATATACATATATACATATATTATATTACTATAAAATAAATATATACATATATATTATATTACTATAAGAGTAAAAAATATATATATACTATATAAATACATATAATAATCGAATAAGGTCTTATTTTATGTACATATATTTATATTTATATATATGATATATTTTTATATTTATATTTATATATATATATATATATATATAATATATTTTTATATTTATATTTATATACATACATAAAGAAAAGGATGTTCCAAACTTCTGAACGGCTGAATCTATATTTAGATTTCTCTGACGGATTGTATCCGACTCTAAGCACAAAGTATTACCAAAGCAAACCTTCCAATCTTTCGTTTCAAATGCACCTTTAACATATTCAACAATTCCGGCCAATGTTTCCCGTGCTTTAAAGAAAACAGAGCCATCCTGGTCCTGTTCGACGAGTTCTGAGCTCTCCCTTTCTCTCTCTCTCTCTCTTTCTCTCTCTCACTTTTGACCTGATTGAAACTCATGCTTCACCGAGCTGCTGGTAAATCACCGTGGCCGCGTGAAAAATTCAGCATGGCCGCGGGGGACGTTCCCCCATGCACAAAGTTCCGTGATACGTAGCAGAAAACAGGCCGAGCCTTATCGCAGTGCCTCCGAGGTCGGTGGCACGCGGCGAAAAAAGAGCTCGCGACTATAGTCACTATCTTTACGACTTTTCGATCGACGATGAGGCGAATACTGGGCCACGTTGTACGAGCTTCCAGAATAAATAGCGTTTTGCGAAGTCAAGCGATCGCGGAAAGCTTCTTTCTCAGTCTGCTTGGACCGATCGAGAGTATTTCTTCGAGAGTATTAGAGATGTCGCTCGAAATATATTCGGTTCGACAATCGATTCCATTAATGGCTCTAAGAGACGAGTTTCATTCGCTTATCTTTGGTAAATTTTTGGAAAATTGGACAAACGTTGCTTGAAATGTGTATTCTGTTTAAAATTTCATATCAGAAGGACGTAACGAGCTGCAGTTGCGCCTCTTTCGTTCAAAATTCAACGTGACGAAGAGGCCCGCTGCGATCGTGAATATTTCAAATCAGAATCAAGCAGAGACGTGTACACAAGATGGTGAAAAACTGATACGATGTTGATCTACAAGGTTTCGTTTCTGAATTACTCATGTTCTTGTAAAGAACAATCCTCTCAACGTTCGACAATCGTCTGAACATTTAAATTTCTATTAAATCACTATCGACAGTGATTTAATAGAAATTTACATTTATACAATTTTTACATTTTATTCTATCAAATCACTATCGACAGTGATAAATGTAAATTTCTATTAAATCACTATCGACAGTGATTTAATAGAAATTTACATTTATACAATGTAATTTTATTTATTATATTATGATCGTGACATTTTATCTATTACGTGACGCACAATATATGATGTATATGCTATGATGTATATGTTGAGAAATCGCTAGTCGAAATCACGAGCGATGTAACTCCGCGGAAACTGAAAAACCTCTGATCTGTTCGACAATCCTTCCCGGGCCTTCCGTCGAAATCGACGAAACGGATAAAAGGTAGGCGTGGTTTCGAAACCGGTCGTCGTCAGAGAAACAGCAGGTGGCCGATAATGTCCTCCGGGAAAGCTAAACCAACCGCCATTCTTTTATGATAATACGAGTCCGTGTGCCCGTCCCGATATCCACCAAATGTAAATCAGCCAGCCGACTTTCCCGATTCCGTACTCTCGATATTCCACCGCCTATATTTTCACCATCTGCGTCTCTTCGTTCTCTTTCTCCTTCTCTCTTTCGAATTTATTAAAATACTTCAGCTGTTTGTTTGTCTTGTCCCGGGGTTGAATCCAAAAGACATCGATGGTAATCGGTTTTCCATTTGATTATCGAAGGATACTTGTTACATGCTGATCTTTTCGATAAGTGCTTCTTCTTCTTTTTTTTTTTTTTTTGTACTTGATATTATACTAGAAGTGTTAATACGTAATTTTTCACAAACATTTGATAGATTTATTATTGTTAAATTGTATTGCTGGACGCAAGTCGAATACTTCTGCTGTATCATTGTGTCTAGTATAAGATTCCATACTTCTGGTGTATTATGACAAATCGAGTAATAATCGATAAGTTGAGAAAATTAATAGAAGATAGTGTAACAAATCTTGTTTACACGTTCGGCTTGAAATTGGATATATTGACGGAAGAATAAGAGACAAATCATCAACAGCGATTTACGAAATTTGTTGGAATTCCTTCAGTTTTCAGGACACAAGAATGAAATTTAAAAATATCTAAAAATTAAGTATTTTACTTTTAAATAAAAGAATATTCTTCTCTTAGATGCTTTTTACGTCCAACAGCACAGCTGTAGATGTGATGAAATGTTATAATTGATATTATCGTAGAGAAAAAAAATTTACTTCACTTCAAGTTTTACAAATAGTGAATACTATATATTTTGCTATTTATTACATGCATTTTGTGCACCTGCACACCTTTAAATTCCCCACGGATGCATTAACATCCGCAACCTTGAGAATTTGAGCGACATTTTGCAAAATATTGGTACTTCGTCCCTCCTGCGTCGTACAGTTTCACATGATGTATAACTCCCACTTTTCTATTATTTCTTTAATAAAAATCTTCCAACTTAATCCCCGGTAGGCCAAGTAACTCGAAGGATTCATAAGCTCAGTGCTTCCCGTTTCTAGGCAGAATATCCCGCGGAGAATGAAACCGAAAACGGAACGTGGTTGACTCTCGCAAGTCTCAGACGACGAAAACTGTTTCGATGAGCGGACAGATGTCGTCGAACTAATTTCGTGATGGTTGCTCTCGAATTGCAATTGCGTTGCATGAAGTTGCGCTCGAAATTGCAAATCTCGAACAGTGAACGATGCTTCGAGCGTTGTTCACAGGATGATCCGCTTGCTACTAAAGACTGATAGATAGCCAGGCAGTGTTAACGACAAGATTACAATCGATCGTTCTCGAGCATCCCTCTTACGATTGATGCTTACCCGTGTCACTTCCAGCTGACTGATGACGATTCACCCCGATAGGCTTCTGCTTTACTCGATGGTAGGCTTCCTAGGAAGTGACCTAAGTAACCAGCGTGTGACGGACGAGGTGCTTACTTATTCAGACTGTTTCTGCAATCGTGGCTACGAACCACGACTAAACGATCAATGACTTACGAAACGAAAGAACAGTAGTTTCCCGTTTTTCAGACTTAAAAAAAGAAAATCGAACTTGAGCCCTCTGAGTTTCCCCCAATTTTCAAATAAATATTTTAAAACTTCTCACCTGTATCCAAGAAATTCTTTCTTTCGATTGTTAACGAAATTTGACTTTCCATGGGATATCGTAAAAGTGTTGGCTAATTCAGAACTGAACCACAATTGAACGATTAACAATTGTTTGGGAAACATTTATCAATGCACTATACATTCGAAACGTTTTTTTAATATCGCGAATCGGCGATTTCTCTGATTTTCTTTCACAGTTCGACTTGAATTCTACACAATGCCACTTAACGTCTTCACTCCACGAATCTCGCGAGGGAAATAAAACCAAAGAACGTCACCTTGACTTCTTGGCACTCGGGGGAGGATGAAAGAGATCGCGACGCAAAAATCGAGCGAGTCGTATCCTCTCCCCATCCAAGAAAGGGATCAGGTGTAATCCTCTTGACACGGGATCGGCTAACACTTGGAGCGGTTCGAGGAACTCTCGAATAACAAAGAGTCTGTCGACTGACACGGATGGAGGGGATCCTCCCCTGTTCAATCTCGAAACTCCTCGATTATTCCTGCACCATCCTTTCGAACTTCTTTTTTTCGAATTCACTCGCCTTGTTCACTGTCGTTTTCGATCGTTCGCGATTTACTATCTGCGTTTGAACGTTTGATTAATTTAATGGCCCTCGGCCATTTATAAACAGACAATAACCTTGTAATCGGTATTTTCAAAAAAAGAACATTTATCTACATCTGCTATACGATGTACATTTTGTAAATCCAGTTTCATGTTAGATTTAAAAGTCTCTCGAGAAAGCTGATATATATACTCTGATATATGCTCTTTTGTCCAGTATTTCTCACATGCTATTTATATGAACGTTCATACATTGCTCTAATTGATCTGTATACTCTTTTCGCTGACGTGTTTTGAAAAGATGCATATTCATTTGCTAGTTTTTCGTTAACAACATTAATTGACCAAATTTCGGGGAATTTAACTAGACGTAGATTCTACTAGAATCATAAGTTAGTTGAGGCATGTCTGGTGTCCGAATATTTTAATTATTTATTTAATATTAAGTTATTTGATTAAATGCACGTATTAAATGAATCTTTGTATATTTGTTAAATAGAAACCTTTTTCTATCTCTTACATACTTACGTAGAATACAAAGCACAATGTCTGAACTATTTTTGTAGTCAATTGTACTTTGCACAAAGTATTTGTCTCTTTACGACCAACGTGTAATACTTACCTCCATTTTGAGAGTTAATTTATTCGAAAACTCGCGACCCGTTTGTTTGTTTGACCTGTTGTCAGTTTGCACCGCGGCGATCGATCACGCGAGTGCGCCTCTTTCTCGTCGTAACAATCGAAAGGTGGCTTTCACCTCCTGGCTGACTATAATTAACAAACGACCTGGATAATCAGGCGACGTTGTTAGAGGCTGAATTATTCCCTGGGTCTACGAGTCTCCAGCGTGCAATTCCCGATATATCCCCTCTCACGAAATTCTGGTTTGGTTCGACGTAATAACGAGAGACGATGAAAATGACACGACGGGAAATAAATTCAAATTCCGGCGGAATTTATCGCCCAGCCGTTCTCCCATTTAGGTTAATGTAACAGCTCGTGTAATGTACAGCCGATTAATTTTGATAAAATGGTATCGCGATGTTGGCATTATTGTCCGCCATATATATATGGGCAGCAATTTGTGGAAAAATGACAGGAGAAACAAGAGAAAGAAGCTAGAAGGTAGATGAATATTCGTACACGTTCGAATATTTCAAACCGGTATATTTTCCTCTCGAAACGGAGGATCGCGTTCTCGGTGTATACAGGGTGTCGTGTAACTGATGATCAAAAGTCACGTAACTGGTAGTTACAAGAAGAATATAATTCTGCATGAGAAAGATAAGGCAAAAGGGGGAAATAAATTCTTTTCGCATTAAAGGTTTCAGTTTTCTAGAAATCCAAGTTTTCCGGCTTACTTTTTCACGTACACAATCACTCTTTGCCCGTTCGTGGCACCCTGTACACTCGCGTTTAGTTCGATCGTCATTCACGGTCTCGGTGATTAAGAGGAAAGTTGAAAATTGCGAAATGCTTCGCTGTCCGCTTGGTTTTTTGGTTTCAAGTACTAAAGCTGGCTAAAGGGAACAAATGAAACCCTTGACAAACGTTCCTCGTACGTCTTGACCTACCTTTTTCTTTAATTTCTTCCAACAGAACATTTTATACGTCCTCCGTGCAATATTTTTCGGGATAAAGTGGCCGTCTCGCGAAACCCTATGTTCATATTTTAGGAAATGTAATATTTCGTTCAATTAATCATTGACTGTCTACTAATTATTTCGTTATTGTTTTTCTGTTACAGGTAAGTTTATTGCCCGAGTAGTATAGTCCCTTCAGCTTTCGCCGTGTTCGTGTAAGTAGCCACTCGTTCGTGAGATCAGAGATTCAAAGGCGTATTTTGCTGTTAGCGTTCGCGAGGGAAAAATGCTGCGTATAAAAATTTTCTAGCGGAGTTTTTTTAGCGAACTCTTTGTCGCGAGATCCCTTTCTCTCTTTCTCTCTCGACTCTTTTTCGGGCGCAAAAAATCATAACCGCAAACCAAAGGGACAACAAACAAAGAAGAAGGAGCGTTTATTAGAATTAGTTGAAAAATAGACGTGCCATGTTTCTACGAAGGCAAAATTAATTTCCTCTCCTACAAAGAAGAATAATATGAGCAGAATGGCACGCTGGCGCTACTTCAAAGGCGGTCCTAATGCCATCTGTTATAAAACAAGAGAAAAATCTTAATACGCAGTTGCCCACGTATTCACTGTGAAATGCCTTTCCTCTTTGTAAAGAGGCTAGACGCGATGATTGTTTTTCGAAAAGAAATTAATTGGATTGCTCTATGGAAGAAACAAAGAAGATAAAGATAATTTGTACTCTTTTTGGCAAACAATGTCTTTTTCATCCTTTGATTTGTAACTTTGGTTAATAACATGGCTCTTTTGAATCTCGCATCTCTGTGTTTTTGAGTTATGAAAATATTTCGAATAAATTTCGTCTTAACGATTATATATATATATATATATAATTTACAGTATATTATTGATCATACAGATACGTATATATTTGAATTTGATTAATTCCAGAGTAAACAAGAATGAATAGAGTTCTACGTACGAAAATTAATGAAAAACATGGAATAAAAATTTTTCCATTTCAGGCTTTGTTTTTAACATCCAAGAGTTTAGCTAAGGACTAGTTTAATATAAATGAAATGCTTGACAAATTTTTAAATTAAAATCTTTGAGAGACGAAACGTTTTATAATAAAACTTTTGTTCGTGACATTCTTCCCTTATTTTCGCAGGCAGAATAACATCCTTTCGATTACGCGCTCCTTTCCAGTCCGGAATTCCAAACTTAAATGACAAAATTTTTACTCTTTACTTTTTCGACCTATTTTTCTCATGTACAATTATCTACTTTTCAGTTGCACAATATCGAAAATAATATAATTTTTTTAATGTGAGGGAATTGAATTTATAGAGTTGTAATTATAGCAATAAATTATAACTCTTGTACGGTAGATTCTTATTGTTAGTAGTAATATATATATATTACAACATAATAAGAGTTACGCTTCCTTTGCATTAAAAAAGTAACATCATTGTGCATTTAAAAATATTAAAATTATATAAAATTATATCGTATAATATTTTTATAATATATAATATATAATTATATAATATTATTGTGCATTTAAAGACTTAGACAGGCATTAATAATATTTAAAAACACTCGAATAAGTACTACGAATATTTAAAAATTATCTAGCTATTATTCCTTTGTTCGTAGTTCAAATACCCGTAGAAAAGCTCGTTTCCGTTTTCAATAACCAGCCAGTCGCTTAAACCAGCATCGACATACATACATACGCCGTGCAAACAACGTTACACACATAGTGTGCGCACACATAGGATGCGAAATAAGCGGCAACAATATCGCTATGTCCACGGTTTAAACTCGGACAGACGGAAAAAGAAAGTGCACGTCGACGTGCAGAAGAAACGTAGGAAAGTTCGGAGAACGTTAGTCGGTATCAGCCAGCAGAGCCGCTTCATCGACGGACTCCCGGTATTGTTTTCGATTCTGTCCGGGGCCATTCTTCTCCGAACGATATTTAATCTGTCCGGCTCGTTTCACGGTATAAATGAAAACTCCCGGATAACCGAAAACACCCGGCACGTTTCTTATCTCCGACCTAAATTACGACATCTGTTTCTTTGCCTCTTGTTCTCCCGTCTACCTTCGTCCGCGTCGTTTCTTTGCGATCGATCGAACGCATCGGGAATTTTAAATCTCTGCTCGCAACGAGAACGCGTCGACTTATCTCTGGTATGAAACGCCAGTGTACAAATGTTAAACAGCTAGCTTCTTTTTTTTCGCTGCCTTCGATTACAAATAATATTTCGCATCGAAGAGGAGACTTGGGAAATTTCGTATCGATCGTAATGACACTTATAAAATAAAATAAAATAAAATATTCCAGGATAACCTCCGTTAAACGAGGGTTAATTCTTCACATTTACGTAGATAATATCTCGTTGATTATTCCTGTTAATCGTACGAATGACACACATCGTCCTTTCGTTATCTATCTTTCATCTTGCAAAGCGTTCGTGACAATTTCACGTAGCGAAACTCGGTGAAACAAACGTCGCCTCGTTTTTCATGGCATTCGTGGTTCACGGCTGGCCAGATCGAATGTTCCACATATCCAGTCGTCGTGGCCGTTTCCACGGACTAATGAACGTGAAACGTAATTGGCAGTTGCGTGCAGCTTCAATTAACGTATTACAAGCGATGCTCTGTCGAACGGTCGCGGTGAATTTTGTTCCGAATTCTTGCTCTCTGACGACATACTTGGATCGTTCTCTAGTCGCGCCTGCACAGAGGCGGAAATATTGACACGTTCCTTTCGTACGTGTGTGTGTGTGACAAATATTTGTTAGTATCTGTGCGCGAAAGTTTCGCCGACAAGAGGGCTGGAGAGAATCGCTTCCAAAACCTTGATCTGAATTAGCCAATCGGCTGGCAAGTGTCCATTTCCTCGGCAAAAATACCTATAAATCTTAGCCGCCACCCTCGTTTCTCTATTGAATCTTGCAGTCAATCTCGTGACCCGCTACAGCGACTCCAGTTGCCCTGCTGTTTTCGAAGGAATATCGGGAAATTTGTGGATGTTGCTGCACAACGCGAATGGAGCACGAAGGACAAGAGAAATGTAAATTTCTTTCGAATTGCTTAGAGATAATACGTTGCACATTATGTTTCGGAAACTCGTACGTTTTTTTTAACGTGATGCATAATCTTTTCTCGAAAAATCATCGAGTCCAATGTTGCATACTACGTTTAAATAATTCGAGGTGACGTTCGTACTTGAAAACAAAACAGATATTAACTGTTACATACCGTGCGATTTTCGTTTGCGACAGAAAACAAAATAGGCAAAACAAGTAATGAATTTATTACTTCCCAGTAATTTTTATCCGATGACATCATACCAAACGAGTTCAGAAAGAAAGCGACGAATTAATGCATACGGTTCGGTCACTCGTTATGGTCCGCGAACCAGTTGCCAGCGCAAGGACTTAAGCTGCTCTTTACCCGCCATGGATTCATAACGTGAATTTAAAATTTGAAAACTAGTATGTACATGGCAATTCGAATTTAACTGAATAATCGCCAAATTTTTTTGGTTTTCGTTTTACAAAAATTTTCAAGCACCGTTGCTTTCGAAAACTAAAAAAACTATTAATTCCTTCGGACGAGCCCTCGGTTTACGTTGGTTTCAGCTTTCCGTTTGAGGTGCAAAATCGGTCGGGTTAAATTGATTAGTGTTCATTAAGTACGCGCGCACGCAGATAAATCAATATTTTCAAACGCCGCGGCCGACGCGTAATGGATTTATCTGCACGAAATCGATTAGCATATATGCATGTGCCACGCGTTTCTGATAAAACGCAGGATTCTCTGTGTGTAACATCGCTCTGGGATTATAATGCCGTGCGATATCCTAAATTTAGGCACTTAATCCCCGTGGATCCGATTAATGAATAAAAATCAGCCAAAACATTGATCGCAGCTGGGCGATCAAGCCTAGCATAACTAACATGATCGTCTATCTAATTATCTGTTATCAATTCCATGGCTCGTTGACAATGAGTCAATGATTCAAGAGACGATGATCAAACATTTTTACATTAATTATTTCACCATTGAAATCAGATCATTTTTTCTTCTCTTTTTTTTTTTAGTAAATTAAATTTTTAATATAAACTCGTTAAATAAATTCGCCTATATGCTCGAACGCTGTAACGTATCTTCTATTATTTCAAACGGCTATTTTATCGTGGACTATGAGCTCGTTAATAATAATAAGATACGATCGAGGTATCGATGGCACACGAGTCGAATGATTCACGGAGTTTGTGCTGGTTTACGATACATTTGTTTAATTCAAGCGCGATATCCGATGACTAGTGAATCGAGAATTCAACTCGAGAGAGGAAAACAACAAGAGGTAATTGTTACACTGTGAAATAATATCGTACTTTCGCGTGAAATGTTTTTTTTTTACACAGGTCTTTTGATTTGCGTCATTGTCATTATCTGTAGCTCGAAATTTTATAATGGAAAGATGAATGGTTTCCAGGTGGTTAATAACGTTATTGTTATATGTATCATTATATATATATATAAACGTTACGCATTCAAATTTGTGTGATCACTTTGGTTTCTCAAATCAATGTGGAGATTACATCTTTTCAAATGCAGCTCGACATTCTCTACGAGAAAAAGAAAAGAAAAAAAAATATCGAGAAAAATTATTAATTTAAAAGATATTTTAATTTTAGCATGTATGAACAGTGATTGATTATGACACAACGATGACATTACAATTATATTATAACGATATAGTGCAAATCAATATTAAACATTCTATAACAAATGATCCGACAAATAATTAGAGGTAATAAAATTAGCTATTTTGCACGATGCATAATTTCCCCTGAGAACCGATCTCGAGACGTGATCGCACGAGATCACTTCTTACGCAGACGACTTGCGCCCTCTTTTCACGTCGGTCTCTCTGTACTCGAATCCGACGAATCTCGTACATCGAGCCTTTTATTTCTGCCAGCGGAGAAAAGTCACGGGGCGAGGGCTTTGATCTCTTCGGAGTGCACTCGAATCGTTCGCTAGTCCGTTTCGTGCAAGGACGAAGCCATGGCTCGTTCGGTAATGCACAATGCATTCTCCAGGTAGCAAAGAGACGCGTTTTCTTCGTGCAATCATCAAGGCGAACCGGAGGTTCTCAAGACACGCGAGACACGTTTAAAGGGCGTCGGTCGACGAAAAGGGTTTCGATGTTAACAGCCTGGTGGATACAAGGAACGAGAAATAAAGGGAAACAGGAACGGGAAAAGATTCGGTCGTTCGCGCGAATGGTAATTTATAGAATATTCGGCGAATTGAATTTCCACCGGGTGAAAACTCGTATTTGCTTGAACCGTGTATGGGAATTCGTTCTGAAATTTTAAGCAGTACGTTCCACAACGCTTTTTTGTCTCGCTTTGTCTCCAGAGTCTGTTTCAATAATCCAGCGAGGCGAAAATCACAGATGAGCCGTCAGTTACGTGACAACGTTCATTGATTTGTTTTTAGAAAACGTCAACGGTGTGAGAACCAAACAGTGAATTTAAAATCAACAGTTATAGGTTGATATATTGTTTCACAAGAATTTATATTAATACATCGTATTTTATTCCAATTCGTTAAAAATTACAATATTCGTGACTTGTCTTTCGACGACAATTTTAATAACACGTAATTTCCTAATTTTTAGAAACAATT